GTTGTTTTTACTCTTGGATTTATGGCTGTCACTGGATCTGAGAGCCGGCGTTAGCTCAGACTTCGGCTGCTGAAAGCAGGTTTCTGTGCTTTGTTTACCTTCTGTATTTGAAACTTTGTTGCAACTCCAGCTCTGAGATCCTGGCTGACTGAAAACAGGTTCCTGGGTTTTGTTTAGCTTCTATATTTGTAACAATGTTTCTTAGAGAGCAGCTCAGAGCCCAGCAGTGGCAGGCGGGGAAGGTTGGCTTCCTCCGTGACTGCAGCAAGCAAGCCTCCTATTTGCGTCAGTTGCCTGGCTGCCAGCCACCTTCTTGACTGGCAGTTAATTTGCATATTGCCCTGATTAGCCAATGGGAAGGGTAGCGAAGTTACGGCTAATTACCATGTTTCTCTTTTATTAGATAGGATAGTATTATGTTTCCTCATATTACTTTATTCCCATTTTACACATGAATAAACAGAGAGGTCAACCTGCAAAGCCTAGGTCATCCACTGGTAAATACCAAGGCTGTACTGTTTTTCAATGTGCCTACATCCTAGAGTTCCATGTGCCTTTCCGTAAGCCACACTGACTCCTGAATGTCCAAGAGCAATGAAGACATGAAATAGGTTGTTAAGGAAACCAAGCAATCATCTTTTACACGATATTTAAGACATCTGAGTCTCTTTTATGTAGATGGTGAAATTAGATAACTTGAGGTTTACAAAACAATTCTGTACATCATTTCTAACTTTCTCAAGTCTAATTTAACTCCATATTCTCCATTTTTTTCAGAAGTAAAATATTATTTACTTATTACATTCAACAAGAATTAACATTCATAAGCAAGATAATTTCATGAGTATGTAAGCCAGTAGGAATAAAGCACAGGGTTTTCAAGGGTATAGTATTAAGCATTATTAATACTACTACTGACTTTCATAATAAAAAATGTTGTAGAGCTGAAAACATACAGAAATTATGAAAATTAGGTTAGAAAATAAACATAAATTTAGATGAATAGGTTATATTTGAAATGCCTATATTTCCCATATGGCATTGATACTTTCAGCCTTTCAGTTTTTAGCCTTTTTGATAAAAAGCTATAAGCCTTCCACCCAGAAAAACTCACCAGATCTGAATTTTTCATGTGATTTCAGGGACTTGGTGGATGTACACCCCACCCTCAAGCCCACAGGACCTTCTAGAGGTCTACAGGCTCCAGGTTATGAACTCCAGCCCAGGTTTTCCAAAAGTTCCCTTGGAAGAAACATGTAAAAACTTCTTGGAGAACTTGTTCTCAACATCAGACTTCAACATTTTCAGTGGAAAACAGTTAACCATCAAGGATTGCTGATGTAAAACTGAGCAATAAAAAACAGTGTCTCATGAAAGGCAAATATGTACACATATAACCATGACTCATGTCTCATAAATGTATAAACAGAACTATATGGAAGGAAAAAGAGGAAGCAAATACTTCAAAATGGGTCTGACAAGGATTTTCCCAAAGGGGTAGTGGTTTAAGCTGGGTGACTGTTGAAGCGTAAGAAGACTTCTACAGTTGTAATGTAGGTATAGCAGATATTTCTAAAATCTTGACTTAAAAAGTATATCCTGCCTGGCCATGTGGCTCAATGGTTGAGCATCGACCTACGAACCAGGAGGTCATGGGTCGACTCCCAGTCAGGGCACAGGCCGATTGTGAGCTCAATCCCCAGTGTGGATATATATAGATTTATAAATACCTAATATATGCATTTTCACTAGCATCCCAACTTGGTCCTTTTGACAAAAGATCCCATGTCACAAACAGTTCAAGCAATACTCCAGGGGAGGAGAGGAACATACCACGAGGCAGAGGCTGGACTGTGGCCTGTCACTCCTTTGATCATTACCAGTATTTGACAGTCTGCAGTTTATGCATACCTGATTGGGTAGATTAATGGATTATATAATTTAGCTGATATCAAACCTCTCTTCACCAAATGGCCAAGTAGCTTTAGAAGATGCCTGCAAAGAAACTGGGTACTGAAAATATGTACAAGCAACAGAAAATGGCAGAGCTCTACTCCTGGTATGTGTCTTCACCAGTTACATTAGAAAATAAAACAGGGGCAATGTGACCACAAGCTGGACATACAATTCAAAATTGTCAAGACTATTGAGTTGCACTTTACACAGTCATTGACAATAAACAGTGTACTGTGTGTACATTGTCCCACGAGATATTAGTTAAGGATATATTAAATCCTTCTAACTAATAGCACATTTTACTGGTTGAATAACAGCATCTCTTCTACCCTGCAAGACTTTGGGTTGGAAACATTTGGAAGGAAAGAGAGCAAAGGAACCTTAAAAACATCCATTTCAATAGATGGATGCGGTCAGAAAGGTCAATAAACTTTTATAATTTTTTAAGCAATTCAAGCCCAGACTTATTGAGCATTAGAGGTTAAAGCCAGCACTTAAAAGAAAAAGCGAGATGTTCAATATTTATGCCATTCCAGTGCACACCTGACCATAGGGCTGCTCAGTTCTCCACAGGCTTGCAGTGCTGGGTCCTCACTAAGAGTGCTGTGACAGAACTCTCAGTCAGCAGAAACATGGACTTTTTTAATGGCTAGAAAAGGCCACGCCACTAGTAACATTTGTAGCTATGCAAAGTAACATAATAAGGGTAATCGAATATCATGCTTTGGCTAGTAAGCTGATCTAAACTGGGATCATAAAGGAATGCTATCCCCCTCCTCTGCAAGAACACAAGTGAGCATTTGGGCTGGTTCATTATGAAAGGACTGGCACAAGGCACAGCCTTTGTTTGATTCTGGACATAATACAGGAGTGGGAATTCTGGTTCCTAACAAAGTCATAAAGTGTTTTTTTAAGAACTATGTGAAATTTGTCCATAGCACTCATTTTCCAGAGTTAATTGGTCATGCTGTGCTCATTTCTCTAAGAAGAGCCACAGTGTAACTATTCTGACACATATAAATAAATTTAAATGGTTGACTGCTTCACAAAACTGAGCAGATAAGTCTTAACTTTCTATTAGGTTTGAGAGCTCAGGTCACTGCAAAGAGGAGCACATTTAACTTTTTAAAAGCTGGCCTCTTTTAAGAAAACTCAGAATATTTAATTGGTTGGCACTAAAACCTATGCAAATTGCCAGCAGTATCAGTAACCAAGTTTCCTAGACATGCATCATTTAAGACCTTCTCAGCTTTACACAGGCTAGGAACTGCTTATTTTCTGCTTTACTAAGAAAAGAGCTAAACTAAGACTGCTGTAGCTTCCAGGGTAAAGATATACGGTTCTCAATCAACTTTAGAAACCACTGAAAGTGCTCAAAGTGAAAGGCAGCATGCTTATCTGTACACTATTTATAAGGAAATTATCTTTATAAAAGTCTTCAGCTTCTTCCCAAATTCAATAAAACACTGAAGAAAGCTTTGAAGCAAAAGCACTATTCCAAGTACATTTTGGTACTTAAAAATGTAAAGAGCAAAAGTAAAGATAAAGAATTTACTTTAATTTAGATATTTTCTGTAGACTTCAGATGCTTGCATAGAATCTTACCATATCCCTTATACTGGCAATATTCTCTATTACCATTTTTTGTTTTATGTATCATATGGTGGAATCCCTTTAGCAAAAAGAGTAGTTTTACTTATCCATGATTAAACTATGGACTGGGAGAGCTGTTTCATCAACTGAAAGAATCAGGCTTGGAAGCAATAATACACATACATCCTAGATGGCACAGAAAGAGTATATTCAGCAACTTCCTCATTTTCCTAGGACTTAGTATGTATATCTAAAGGGACATTAAAGCCAAACCAAAATTATAAATTAAAATTTTTTACCCACCCCTGAGTAAACCCAAACAGTCCTTACTTACCTAACATGTATTGCTTAAGGTAATGGTTTTTTTAAACAGAAAAAATTAATAGAAAATTAAGAATTATGTGATCCTTTCACCATGTTTACTATTTGCATTGATTAGGCAAAGTACAATCTCAAAAGCAAAAAATGCCCTAGAAAACAAACAAAAAATTTATCTCAATTTAAGAATCATTAAAACAAAAAAAAAAAGCAGCTCGAGAATCTGAGGCTAGATTATTGCTATTAACATAAGAGAAAATTCTGCATACCTGCTTCTGTTGGTCTTGTCAGCTGAGATTTGGAGGTCCAAGAAAACAGATCCAGAAGAGTTAAAACTCAGTCTCTCTAAACTGTGTCTATTCTCAAATAATTCTCGGCCAAATTCAGCGTCTGACCAAAGAAAACAAGCAACCCACACTGAAGTGTCCTGCCTACTACTACAGATTTTAATCTTGAAAGAACTTGGTCTCGAGTACAAAGGCCAATTTGCAACATGGGTGTGGTTTGAAATCAAGAGGCAAAATGTAGATGTCATCGACAATTTCTTTTGGATTACGACTGTTCTTAAAATACATCAGGATATTCACACTGCCCCTTAGAATCCACTCAAGTAGGTCTCCTTCCTACAGAATGAGACTGCTTTAGGAGGTCTTGTATTTTTATAAATATTCTTTTGCCATTTTAATTTTGAAATGGCAATTTGGTTTTCACCATGTGAAAAATCATTTAGCAATTAAGCATACATTGAGATTCCTGTAAAGTATTAGAAACTTGTGTTAAATGTTTTTTTAAAAAAATTACACCCTACCTTTTTTTTTTTTACAGTCACTAGACTAATTTCAAGCAAATATACAAAATTACCTTTGAATGGTAACTGGAAACATAATATAGAATTATATAGTGTTAAAGCCAGGAAGTGCCTTAAGGGGTGTCCCATTCTCCTCTCTAAGTGAGGCAAGAACAAGCTCACTTAAAATCTATATCTATTTTCACTGACTGGTTAATTCTCTGAAGAGGAAATCTGAAACATTATTTATGACAGCTCCATAAAAGAATGGCTGTTATAAAAATGCTTCACAAAGTGAAAGAAAAAGTTAAGGATTTGTATGTTATAATCCCGTTAAAAAGGAAAGTACATACTGTATAATATCATTTATATGAAATTCTAGAAAATGCAGTTTAATGTATGTCACATGCCTTTCATGCCTTTCTTGAGTTCCTATTATAAAACAAAACGAAACTTCCAGAAAAAATATACTGATTTTATCTCAATAATGACTATGTAGAGAATGATGTGGTGCTGAGTGACTGATCAGGGCTAAGTGCACAGTGCAGTCCTGACACCTTGTGAAGACAAAAGTACAGTTTGAGCCATTATGAGTGCTCAATAAACAATAATCAGATTCAGAGTTGCTTATGTAACTGAAACTATTTAATAAAACAAGAATATTTAGAAAATGTTCCGTGTCTGCACCTTTTGGGAATGAGCCACATTGTTTTCAATCTCTATAAACCCACACATACTTATTTGGAGATTTGCTTGTAAGAAGTATTTCCACAATATGTAAAGAATTTTTTCTGTACCTTAGAAATAGTCCATTTCTCAAACTTCTAAAACATCAGGGTAGTGATTACCCTTGAGAATGGTAGCAACTGGAAAAAAGCAAGAAGGTTTCTGGGGTTCTGGTAATAATCTGGTTTCTTGGGATATAGGTGTTGATTTCATGAAAATTCATCAAGTTATATACTTAGGATCTATACTTTTTTTTTTGCTTGTATACTATACATCAATTAAAGATTCAAAAACACACACACAAAAAAAAAACATAAAAGGTCTACTCAGTAAAAGATGTATTGCAAACCTCATCTTTAAAATCCAGTTTTTACTCACTTTAAATTAAACATTGTTGGCAATGTTCTTCTACTAACAGCATTTTGAGAAAACAATAAATACACATACCTTGCAGTGTTTGGGTACATAAATAACATACGCAAGCCACTTAAGTTTAGTACTTGAAACCAATTCAATCATTGGTTCTGAGTACCCAGATGCTGCAGGGCTTCTTACATGCTCCACAGATTTAGGGAGGACATCATCATGGAGAAGAACTCATGAACCACCTTGGGAAGATCAGCAGACGATCTGAATGGACTCTTTCCACCACTTTAATTCAGCTACTAGTAAAAGTGAGTAGATGCCATACTTTAGCACCTTGGAAAACATTTCCTAGAATAAGTAGGTGTCAAAACTTGTAAATATGTGTTGTTATAGATAAATGGACATAAAGCGTTGGTCTTATGTAATATTTTTTTTAAAAAGGCAGACCAGGCAGTTGGAAGTATATGAACAAAGCTGTGCAAGCGAGAGCACATGGCAGGCAATGGGTGAGGGAAGGGAAACATCCTGGCTGGAGGAGTGGGCCTATTTCACATCGTAAGAGTTTTTTCTGAATCTAAGTTACCGGAGAAGCAGGCAAAACACGAATCACCCCACTTTGAGACACAGAGGTAGTGCAGCTGCAGCTCTGCCTGACACACCCATGTTCAAAAATCCTGGCACATTCTTTCCCTGGGCCCTGAGGTGATTTTAATTTAGAAAAATATCCGTTAAATCATATTTTCTCATACACATAAATATTAGTGCCTGGTGCCCTGCTGTCCCGTTTGTCAACAAAGGCAGACAGTGTATCTGTGGCAGCAGAATAATTCTCCCCAAGCGGGCCCCAAGCCCCAAATCCCAAAACATGTTACCTTACATGCAAAAGGGGCGTGGCAGATGTGATTAAGGGTTAGGGCCTTGGAGCAGGCGGATTATCTGGGGATATCTAGGCAGGCCCAATCTAATCACATGGGTCAAAGAGCAGAGAACTTTTCCCTACTGGGTGAGATAAAATAAAAGGAGGAGGAGGAAAAGAGATTCAAGATGTGAGAGGGCTGGACCCACCCTTGCTGGCTGTGAAGATGGAGGAAAGGGGCCATGAGCCAAGAAATGCAGGTGGGAAAGGCCTTCAGTTTACATCCAGTGATAGAAGCGGGATCTCAGGCCTACCCCTTCAAGAAACCGGATTCTGCCAGCCCAAATGAGCCATGAAAAAGGTCCTCCCCTAGGGCTTCCAGAGAGGAATGCAGCCCTGCCAGCACCTTGCTTTTAGCCCCATGAGCCCCGTGTTGGATATCTGACCTACGGAACTGTCAGATAATCAATGTGCTATTTAAGTCACTAAATTTGTGGCATTTTGTTATAGGATCAATAGAAAACTAATATAGGCTCAAATGGGTTTATTCAGAGCAGGATGTTCTTATCACCTTGGCCTTACATTGCCCACAAGAGAACAGCTATCATTTGGGAGAAGAAGAGTGTGTTTGGGAGGAGGGGGCAATATTGGTTTACAGCTCTCCTTAAATAAATTTCTCTCTGAAAGGGTGTGCTCACATATGAGAAGTAAGTCAAATATTCAGCTTAGCAGCTTTAAAAAATTACAAGAGTTAAAGTATTCAAGATTCTGCCAATAATGATGAGCAGGGTTGCCTCCCTGTCTTAATCCTCCCTAGCACACCAGGGCCCAGAGATTACTGCAATTGACACTAAATGCTACCCAGCAACTAGGTGCAGTGGTTCTCATTAGTAGTTCTAAGATTGCCTTGTGTGGACTGTTTTGAATGCAGATTCCTGGGCCTCATCCCCAAGGATTGTCATTCAGAAGTAAGTGAAGTGTAGTCGAGGAATCGAAATAGGACCAAAATTAAGAATTTCTAAATTCTGAATGACTAATATTGCTGGAAGCATTTTCCACTTCTCCCACCAACCATCTGAGACCTCTCCTATTCTGACCAAGGCCTGAAATGCAATTCTTGTCAGGAGTTAGCCTAACAGCTAGCACACAGAACAGACTAGATGGTTAAGGGTATAGATCTAATATAAACAGACATGGATTTGATTCTGCTACTTATCAACAGAGTGTTTCTGGCAAGTCACTTAAGTTCTCTGTACCTCACTTTGCTCATCTCCATAAAGGAATGACAAGACCTACCTACCCATGGGGTTGTTATTAAAGATTTAGAAGTTCTTAAAACATAGTAACTGACCAGTTATTAATACCACCATAATTTCATTTCTGGTTGAAGTCAGAGCAAAATATTTATAAGCAGAAGTAGTTTAAATTCTTTAGCATTTTTCATTCCTGAAAACATTATTTAATAGAAACAAGCTTACATTCTGGACTGCATGGAATTGAGTGTGTTTACAAGATGCTGTACTATGGAAAGTAAATAATGGGAACCATAATATTCCTGACTCTTTGAGGTTATAATACCCAAGGAAGCATAATTTTATACCACACCTCTAAAAAGTTGGCTAAAGCAAAAATATATTTTTCCAAAACACAGGCATTTGGGAAATTTATCTCTTTTCACCTTATATTATGAAATGGCAACTGTATAGATTGTTGAGACAACTATCACTAAGTATTTAGTGACTACCAGGCCTCCTTTCTAATTTGAAAACTGCCGAGAGTGAAATTGAACCACCTGCTCAAGGTTACAAATCAAGTTAAATAAATTCCTCTGCCAAGTAGAGATGAAGGACATAAAAAATCCTTTTCCTAAACAGTATATAGAAGTCAATAACTTGAGCATGAATGGACGAACAGGAAGCAAACAGCAGTACAGTTGAGTCCGGGCTGATGACACTATCACAGTCAAATAGCCAGTATTTGGGGTCACAACTAGAAAAATAAATTCAAGACTAAATTTTTAATTAATAAAACACAAAATAAATGATTAACTGTAAAGAATGATGTTGGAAGAAATACAATACCTATTTCATTATTTTTTCTATAACCTTTAGTGTTCTTCCTGTCTCTGCTTGTGTTCATTCCTTCATCATTCCTTTTTGTCTCATTTACCTTTTATAGAAAAGGTAGGAAACATTAACCAATGAGGAAAGGGGCATCTAAAGAATGTCTTCATGTTTTCACCTGCTGATCCTCAGACTACAGTCCTCTACACTGGAGTTTACTACAGAGAGCTGTGGAGGAAGCCCATTCTCCTAACTTCATATTTCTCTCAGGGCCTATTGCAAAAGCAGCATTCTGGCCTCTTTCTCTATACTCCTTTCTCACTCTTCCCCAAAGAAGGGGAACTGATTCATCTTACTCGTCAGAGGGTAAGCGTCTAGGGTCCATAGGAACCTCATTCCTGTACTGCAATGATTCTCAACCTTTAACTGCAACAGAATCATAGATGGGGCTTATTAAAACAAACTTCTGGGTCTAGATTGGAAACCACAAATCTACATTTCTAACAAGTTATATAAGGTGTTGCTGACACTGCTTGTCTGGGGAATCACACTTTGAGAAACACAACTTTACTGAATGTGGCAAATTGTCCACACATGACTTGCCCCTCCCTCTTTAGCAGTAGCTTGTCTT